AAAATGGAAATGGGGATGACTAGAGACTAGAAGTGGGGAAGAGGACATGGCCAGTCAAACAACATTTCCCATGCTGACCAAAGTTTATAGAGTATTAACTATTTGGCTTAGATCTCACCAGACCCATTTACTATAGTTATGGCTGTGGGGAAAGCTCTTATCATAGGTATACAGTGCAGACAATTACCAGCAAACCAGAAGTCTCAAGAGTCGAAGTTGTAGTGGTAAGTTAAGACCACAACCCACACTGCCTGGCAGACCTCAAACCACAGGTCTTAATTTTCACTGTATACTATAAAGCAGCATCTTTTGCTATGTATGGTCAAAAAATCCCTTTTCTTCTCTCACAGGACTTCCAAGAGCTTCTTTCTCAAACATTTCAGCAATCCAGAAGCCAAGATCAGCACACGAATATTCAGACACATGTTGAAAATTTTACCAAAACTCAAAGACAGAGATAGAGTAATTTTTAAATGTATGTTCCCATCAGTCATACAATGCTTGCAGATAAAACAACCAATACATGGTGTAAGGCTACTGGACCCATTTTGATTTCCCCTCAACTGCCCTGACCTACTGAACAAAACAGAATCTAGTAAATACAGGGATCCTTTCCTTGGACTGCAATGAGGAAGTCAGCCAATGGCACTGAGTCCTGTTTGACCAAAACAAAGCTGATGGCATAGTGGAATAAGCTATGGGCATTATTTGATATGGATTCGGATTCAGTCCGATTCGGGGGAAAGTGATTTGATTTTCTGATTCGGATCGCTGTCTCAGTTTGATTCAGTTGACTCTGAATCTAAATATTCGATTCTGATTCGGAGAATCAGCGATTTGGCCACAGACACAGCTTTATGTTTTTACTAGGTACCTTGAAATACCAGGCACGGCTCATGAACACTGAGATGGTGGGGTGGATGGAGCATCAAACAGGAGCATTGTGGGGGAGGGGAGGGTCCACTCCCAAGTGCAGGGGGAACCCCCCCACACACCTCCCTGGTTCAGCAATCAGCCATGGGGGGACACCCCACCTCCCCAGACCCAGGAGGCACCAGTTGGAGAGTTGGGAGGGCGGGGGACTCCCCTGCATGATCTGCATCAGACCTGGAAGTAGAACGGAAGTACTTCTGGTCCACTTCCAGGTCTGCCGCCAAGTGTGTAGGGGACCCCCCCCCCCAATGCTCCTGTCTCATGATCCATCCACCCCAACATCTCAATGTTCACGAGCCACACCCAGACCTCGAGGTATGTAGGAAAAAAAGGATGCCTCTACCACAGATCTTTGAGAACTCCTCGCGCTCTGGTGGAGTGCCCAAAGACTGGAAGAAGGCCAACATGGTGCCTAACTTCAACAAAGGGAGGAAAGTGGATCCGGCAAACTATAGGCCCACCAGCCTGACCTCTACCCAGGGAAAGGTCTTAGAAAAGTTTATTAAAAAGGCCATCCTTAATGAACTGGCCGATGCCAACATCCTGAGGGATAGTCAGCATGGGTTTGTTGCAGGTAAGTCTTGCTTAACCAATATTATTTCCTTTTACGACCAGGTGACCAATCACCTAGACAAGGGAGAAGAGATTCATGTCATATATCTTGACTTCAAAAAAGCCTTCAATCTGGTATCCCATGATCACCTCTTGGCAAAACTGGCCAACTGTGGCCTTGGGTCCACCACGATCCACTGGCTTGGAAATTGGCTCCATGGTCGGACCCAAAGGGTGGTAATTGACAGAAGTCAATCGTCATGGTGCCCGGTGACCACTGGGGTCCCCCAAGGCTCTGTCCTTGGACCCATATTGCTCAACATCTTCATTAATGATGTGGGCATTGGAGTCAGAAGCGGACTGGCCAAGTTTGCCAATGACACCAAACTTTGGGGCAAAGCATCCACACCTGAAGACATGAGGGCAATCCAGGCTGACCTCGACAGGCTCAGCAAATGAGCTGATGAGAACCTTATAGCGTTTAACACTGAAAAAGGCAAGGTTCTCCACCTTGGGAGGAAAAACCTGCAGCATCCTTATAAGCTCTGCAGTGCTACGCTGGCTAGCACTATGGAAGAAAGAGACTTGGGGGTCATCATTGATCACAAGATGAACATGAGCCTTCAATGAGATGCTGCGGCTAGTAAAGCGACCAGAACACTGGCTTGTATCCATAGATGCTTCTCAAGCAAATCCCGGGATGTCATTCTCCCCTTGTACTCGCCCTTGGCGAGGCCACAGCTGGAGTACTGCATCCAGTTTTGGGCTCCACAATTCAAAAAGCATGTGGAGAAGCTTGAGAGAGTCCAGATAAGAGCCACGTGCATGATCAGAGATCAGGAAAACAGACCTTACAACGACAGGCTGAGAGCTATGGGGCTCTTTAACCTGGAAAAGTGCAGGCTCAGGGGTGATCTGATGGCCACCTATACATCAGGGGTGACCACCAGTATCTGGGGGAACGTTTGTTTACCAGAGTGCCCCAAGTGATGACAAAGTCGAACGGTTATAAGCAAGACCGTTTCAGGCTGGACATAAGGAAGAATTTATTTACTGTCCAAGCCCCCAAGGTCTGGAATAGCCTGCCATCGGAGGTGGTTCAAGCACCCACGCTGAACACCTTCAAGAGAAAACTGAATACTTATCTTGCTGGGATCCTATGACCCCAGTCAATTTCCTGCTCTTTGGGCAGGGGGCTGGACTCAATGATCTTCCAAGGTCCCTTCCAGCCCTCATGTCTATGAAATCTATAAAATCAAGCTGTGTCTGGCTGAATCATCGAATCTCTCCAAATCAATTCAGAGGCTTCTAATTGATTTCGGAGAGATTAATGGGTCTCCCAATTCGATTCGGATTCGTAGATTTGGCAGCTGAATTGGGCTGAATCTCCTCCGAATCGAATAAGCAACTGAAGCTTCACAGACCCCTGTCTTTCAGCAGTCAGCTCTTTCCAAGTCTTCATATCAGCATCCATTTTCTTCACATATGGATTCCATGTGCCCTTGTATAAATTCATTTGGTTACTGTGAGATCTCAGGCTGCTAACAAGCTGAGTAGAGCACTTGTTTTGGGAGTCAAGTCAGGCATCCACAAACAATGTGTTAAATTGAGCCCGCTGGGGGATGGGGGGACTACTGCCACTGCTGGCCCACTGAGCAACCCTTGCACAGCCAGCAGGTCAAGCCACTTAAAGGAGCCCACCCCTGCCCCAGCCCTGGAACGAGTGGTGGGCAAGGCAAGGGCCCAGAGGGACAATGGCCTGCCTGTACACAAATGCCAGAAGCATGGGGAATAAACAGTAGGAACTTGTCCTCCTGCTTCACACAAATAATTACGATGTCATAGGGATAACGGAGATTTAGTGGGACTCCACCCATGACTGGGCCACAGGTATAGATGGCTATACCCTGTACAGGAGAGACTGAGTGGACAAAAGGGGTGGGGGTGTAGCTCTCTATGTCAAGGAAAGCTATATGTCCCTGCAAACCAACACTGGCACTCAGGGTGGACAACTGGAGACCCTCTGGTGAAAATTCGTGGGGAACACAGCACAGGGGACAACCAACACTGGCACTCAGGGTGGACAACTGGAGACCCTCTGGTGAAAATTCGTGGGGAACACAGCACAGGGGACACAATGGTTGGAGTCTATTACAGACCTTCTACCCAGGATCAAGAGCTTGACCTGGAGTTCGCCAGGGAACTGGCTGAAGCTGCACGCTCCCAGTGCATGGTTGTTATGGGAGACTTTAACTACCCTGACATCTCATGGGAAGGGTGGTCAACTCAGAGCGGTCACAAAGCTTTCGCTCACGTGTGGATGAGCTCTACTTGACGCAAGAAGTCAACAGGCCAACAAGAGGTAAAGAGCTGCTTGACCTGGTATTGGCTATGGGCGGTGACCTAATAAGTGACCTAATGATCGAAGGGAAGCTGGGTGACAGTGATCACGAGCTAATCAGCTTTACCATCCACCATAAAGCTGGCAAGTCAGTCAGCAATAAAGAAGTCCTTGACTTCAGAAAAGCTGACTTTGACAAGCTCAGGAGGCTTGTCAGCGAGGCCCTAAGGGACCATGACCCAATGGGGAGGGGAGTTCAGGAATAGTGGTTGCTCCTCAAGGGAGTAATCTTGGATGCACAAGCAAAGTCTATTCTGTCTCGGAGGAAAGGCAGCAAAAGGGCAGAGTAGCCCTCTTGGCTTTGCAGGGAACAAGCGGACCTCCTGCACCTAAAAAGAGAGACCTACAAAGGATGGAGAACGGGATCCACCTCCAAGGAGGAATATTCTGCACTGGTCTGGACCTGCAGGGAGCGAACCAGGAAAGCCAAGGCTGCAACTGAACTCCAACTAGCTACAAGTATTAAGGACAATAAAAAGACCATTTTTAGATATGTAGGGAGCCAGACAAAAAGAAAAGTAAGGGCAACATCAGACCCCTGCTAAACCAGATGGGACAACTGACAACCGATGCCCAGGAAAAAGCCAACTTGCTAAATGGGTACTTTGCATCAGTTTTTCAGCAGTCCAAAGGGATGCCCCTGCATTTCATAGTTTCATAGTAGCTAGGATCAGGAGGGACCTGAACAGATCATCTAGCCTGACCCCCTGCCACAGGCAGGAATGAATGTTGGGTTTACAGGACCCCAGACAGGTGATTGTCAAGCCTCCTCTTGAATTAGCCCAAGGTAGGGGCAAGGACCACCTAAAGATACTCTTACCTTATACAATACACCTAGAGGCTCTGACCCTTGATCTGTGATCTCCATGTCAGGCTTCATACAAATAAGTATTAAGTAAGAAATTCCCTGCTCAAGCTAGCTCATACTGTAGGTTTGTGACAGGATGAAGCAGACAAAAATGATGGCAGGAACTGAAGACCCAATTACAGGACGGGAACACCTGGATGAGGATGATTCCTTACTCTCTATCAATGCTGACCTTGTGAAGAAACACCTTGAGAGGCTGGACACCTTCAAGTCAGTGGCAGGAAGTGAAGACCCAAGGCTACAACAGACTGAGCACATTTTGTATAATTAGTATTGGTAGCAGGTTGGCCGTTTCTCCCCCACAACCACACCAGTCACCAAAAATAAAGTATTTTGTATGTCCAAATTTGGAAGCGGACACTCTTCAGGGAATAACAAGTCCAGATGCACTGAACACTTCAATCCTGTGACTGCCTGTACGTAGGGTCTGAGATATCAAAGTACAACTAGCTACAGGATCAGAACATAAATTAATGGTATACCCCATTTTTTGCTCCACCATGTGGGAAATGTGAAGACAAAATGCCATTTTAGAAGATGAAGACTGTTGATTTCCTTTCCTCTAAAAAAGACACACATTAGGATAAGAAAAAAATTAAGCAAAATGGCTGTGTCTTCTGCTTCTCTTGCATAGTACATTCAGGCAGCTGCATTTTCAGACTTCTCATCCACACACCTTCCAGTCACAGAATTATGGCTCAAGAGGCTTCTCCATCATCTTCAGGCCAAGGCGCCCAACCATTAAGATGCTGTTGAAAGGAAAATGCTGTGAGCTCACTGAAGGTAAAACATAAAACCAAATAATAAATTCAGAATAAAACCAAGAGCTAGAAAATAATTGAAATGGTTTGGTTTTATTTAACTCTGATACATGCATATTCTCCAAATATACGTAGATTAAACTATTATAAAGACATAATTATAAAGGTTATTCAAAATATAGGTATGAACAGAAACAGTGTGTAGTACCTGGCACCAGCTATTAACCCTGCGGGCATGAATTTTCTGGAGTTGTAAAATCTCATCCCCATAACTGCAGTCAAGGTTCCAGATGCAACTAAGAGAGAGACAAGAAACCAAGTCAAGTATTGGAAAAGGAGTCTGAGGTGAGAGCACTGAGTTAGCAGAAAGTAATCAATAAGTAACTGAGATAGGACTGCTTCTATAGGCAGAAGGGGAAAAACCTACAGCAGACCTGCATATACTTCTGTATACAAACTAGCCTCCAAATCAATATTTTACCCTTCGATTTTACAAAGCACAGACATTCTTTAAACTCAAGTCCCCCTGCCACAAGTACTCTCTCCTGTTGATCAGAAATAGGTCATTCTAACCAGAACTTGGAGCCTGACTCCCCCTAAGACCTTGGACATATCATAAAAACTGTATTTCTCATTTTATCCCCATCAGCCATGGATTTCCTTAGCTACGTCCCAGAAGTGTTGTGAGGAGTTTGTAAAGTGCTTTGAAATTGAAGCATGTCATACAAGGGCTAAGTATTAGTAATATGTTTTGTAACCTTCCATTATCCAAGCAGAAAGTAGGGCAGGGTGGCATCTTAGGCTGTGTGTAGATGAAACGAGGGGCATGTGTGCGCGACACTTCAAAGCAGGCTAAATGCTTTTGCACCGTTTTAATGATGTCGGTGTTTGCACGCTTCAGTGGCGTACTGTGCGTTAATTACAGCCACTGTAGCAAATTCGGCAGCATAATGCGCCTTAAATGACTTGGGGCCCGAAGTGCCACATGTATCAGTGGCACTGATACGTCTGCACGTTACACTCTGACCCTCCAAGGCACTATCCTCAATGACTCTAAGGAGTTTTAGATGGTGCCCTACCAGCTGTGGAGCGAAGCACCGGGCTCCATGCAGCTCAGGGGCTCTACAGGAAGCCCTACAGGGAACCTGGCAGCAGCTCAGGAAAGCTGGCTCCGCCCAAGAGAGGGGAAAAAAAAAGTGACAAGCCCAATCTTCCCTCCCCCACCCCGCAGAGCCAGCCTGCCTGCCTGAGCTGTGTGGGGGCCCCGGTGCTTCCCTCCGCAGCTGTGCTGCCCCCCAGGACTACCTGAGCCGGGTGCCTGTGGGTGGGTGCCGCCTGCGGGGTGGGGGCTGCCGCAGAGGGAAGCACCCAATGCCTCCCGCAGTCCAGGGACTGCTCCGCCTGCTGGCAGCTCACCCCCCTCTCCCTGCCACCGGAGAGGCAGGTAAGTCAGGTGTGTACATGACACGGGAATTTTATTGGCCCTAAATTGAAGCGGTGTTTTTAAAAACCCACCGCTTCAATTTAGGGCCCCCATTTAGTCTACATACGCCCTTAGAGACTAACTGATTGAGAGAGGCATAAGGTTTCATAGACAAAAGCCTGGTTCTTTAGAAGTTATCTTCATCATAGCATCTAATGAAGTGGGCTGTCACTTCTGAAAGTTTATACCTCTCTGAACCAGTTAATCTGAAAGGGCCTTTATACATGTCCTCCAGGAATGGGGGGGGCGGGGGGGCGCACTTTAATTAAAGCACCCAAAGTGCCATATGTATCAGTATATTTGCACTGAAAAATGTGTCTGCACATTACACTCTGACCCTCCAAGGCACTATCCTCAACACTCCACCCTTTTGGTCCTCATAACAAGTGTTACCACAAAGCATTAGGCAAAGGTGTCTGAAAGCCCCTGCATGATCTGTCCGCTCTCTGAGACAACATTCCTGC